CAGTTGTTACAAGTCTCCCTGTCAAAACAACTTTTCTTAACCTAACAACTTCTTTATGCTGCATTGAATGAACAAGAAGTGTATAGATATATGCACTAGAATCACATTATGTAAATGATGTGTTTATATTTACAACAACACCAAAAGAAATGGTCTGTTATCATTCTCGGCTATTAGTTTTGGAGTAAAAGGACTAGAAATAAACAAATGGTTGTTACTGTCATTGATTGTTTTCAGCTTCATGTGACTTGTTTATTATCACTTCTGAACAACATAAAATGTTGGTAATTCACGTTTTACAGAGTACCTATAGGTAGTAAGGTCTACAAAATAATGCAGTTTTGGAACCGTGAGTTAAAGTGAGGCCAGTCAGAATGACTTGTTTTCCTCGCCAGTTATGTGGCATCGCTTCTCGGCCTTTTGGCTAAGATCAGTGTGTAGTTTCTGTTCTTATCAGTTTAATATCTGATATGTCTCCACTTGGGGACTGTATATTAAATTGATTTTTGAAGCAGGGAGATGGAATAAGGGCTTGCTCTGTCTGCTCCACGCATCATCCTGGTATTGCAGTATTTCCAGGAATGGTGCACTTTCCTGTTTTTGTGAAATAATAAATGCTTTTCAGCAGGCATTCAAAATGTAAATGTAACTCTAGTTTCAGAGATCAAATTTTCAACTAGTTCTGTGGAAGATGTGCTGCGAAAGCATGCATGGAGAGAGAAGCAGTAAGAGCTGCAGTTTGGTCTCATGTCCGCTAGAGGCTGCTGCAGCAGTTGTTACAAATCTCCTATCAAAACATAACTTTTCTTAACTGAGAAATGTTGTCCTTTTAGTTTGATGTGGCTTATTTACATTAATTTACCACTGCCGAACCACATGGAATGCTATTAATCACCAATATACCACCTTATTTTGTATTTTTGAAACAGGGGTGCATCATCCTGGTATTGCAGTATTTCCAGGAAGTTTGCACTTTCCTATATTTCTGAAGAACTATTATCAGTATTGATTAATGGTGCATTAAATTCTACTTACATCTCATTTTAAAGAACATCTGTGGAGATTTTATGCTGTAACCTAAAAGTGTGAAAGAAAACATTTTCACAAAATATGTACTTTATTTTTGGATTAAGGGGTAACACTAACATCAAAACGGTGATATTGTTTTTTCCTTTTCAAAAATGCCATTTGCAATGGTTTTAAAACAGCACTTATTTACTCTGAGCTGAAAATGTTTGAAAACCTAACAAAATACTTTTTCAATTTGCGTGGAGGAGCAGTGAAGCAGTAAGAGCTGCAGTTTAGGGTCACGTCCACTAGAGGCTGCTGCAGCTGTTGTTATAAACCTGTCTCGTCAAAAACTTAACTTTTCTAACCTAACAACTTCTTTATGCTGCATTGAATGAACAAGAAGTGTATAGATATATGCACTAGAATCACATGTTTATATTGTTTATATATGTTTATATTTACAGCAGCACCAAAAGAAATGGTCTGTTATCGTTCTCGGCTATTAGGTTTGGAGTAAAATGACGAGAAATAAACAAATGCTTGTGACTATCATTGATTGTTTTCAGCTTCATGCGACTTCTTTATATGAATTTATCTCTTCAGAACAACAAAAAATTAAGATATGATTTTTTTTGTTCTCTTATTTAAATTTTTATCTAATATTTGACTTGTAAATAAAGATTTAATATCAGTTCAAAATTCACAGCAAAATCTTTGTATTTATAAATTTAAAAATGTGGCTTTTGTGTGCTTTTTGCATCAAAATGTTTTCCCTCATCACAAAACAATTAGCTGTCACTGTTTTATAGAAGCATACCTTGTTTGGACTCGACCTAGATTAGGTCAATAGCCAAGATTTCAACAAAGCTGTTTTTTTAAATCTTATAAATTTTCGCATGATGGGACATACTGCCTTCTATCTTTAAACAAAATGCTGCATCGGAGCAAAAATCCTGGTTCTTCTTTTCCACACTTCTATGTTTTTCACAAACTTGCCACTAGGGGAAAGCACTACCTTTTTTCTTCCTTATCTGAAACCACAATGAAGATCTGCAGCCAAATAAAACAAAATTTTAGGTTTTCTTTCTACTCGGACGAATGGTTAATATATTTACATTTCTAATAAATTATTTAATCCAAAAATTAATCAGTGTCTGCTGATGACAGCTGAAAAAGAAATACCTTTAAACTAATGACAATACAAATAAAAAGAGACAGAGCAAAATCTTTTTCTTAGTTTACAGAATATCATCCAAAAACAGACAAATATGTAAGTAGTAGTATGATTACTTTTTCTTCTATGGAACATTTTGTGAAAAATTATGCTTAACAAAGCAAAGAGCTTCTAACCTGATGACAAGAAAAAAATATATATCTAAAATATTGTAGTACCATTCTGTTGTGGAAATTCAATAAAAATAATTTCCTGAAAATTTGCTAAAACCTGCATTTGTAAATAATTATGTTTATATTTCAAATCATTAGTTAGCAATTAAATGACAACATTAAGTCATCAGCTCTTGAACTTCTCTTGATGAGAAGTTTTGGGAACCTTTAGCCTACTTAGCTCATATTGTCATTTTATATCCGGGTGTTAATCCAGAGCTGGCCCAAGGCATAAGCAGCTGATTATGGACGCCTAGAAAAAATGAAGAGAAAAGAAGTAAAAACCAAAATTAAATACCTGCCACAGAATTGTGAGTTGCAGTTAAAATAATAGGAATGGGCAAAATATATTTTCCTGCTACTGTGTAAAATATTTACTAAAAACACATTGTAGTCACAAATGTAATTTAATATATTTTACTAACCAGGAATTGCAGAGGTGGGTACTAAAATTGAAAGGAAGAGTAGCACTATGTCAACATATTTTTACTGAAGTAAATGTAAAAAATAGCATCCAAGAAAGTACTCAAGTAAAAGTAATAAAGTATTTGGTAAAAAGGCTGAATAACTGCTGAAAACATCGGTTGTTGAATATGTTATCTAACTATCATCAACAGGATAATACAAATTTGGAATGTTAAAGGCAAGAATGAAAATAATTTATATGATTGACGTAATTACAAAATTTCCAGATCAATTTCGTACAGTATAAAACTTATAAAAGTTTAACATAAACGGCAGGTGTTGTCTTTGCGAAAACAAGCGTATTCTTCAGTCAGTGAAGCAACTCACAGTGGGCACAATCGCGATACTTCAAAATAAAATTACTCAGGTAAACGTAAAGCGTACTACAGTGTGGTTCAAAAAACTTCTTAAAGTACATTCTTTTCTCAAAACTACTCAACTACTCATGTTATTATAACAAATTACTACCAAATTCGGGCACTATGTTTTATATCAATCTTGAATTTCTGGGTTCTTGCAGATACGTGTTTAAAGGGGCTTTTATTTTTAAATCTAACAGGATCTGAAGGGTTTTATTCCGTGTTTCTTGACAAAGGTCCGGGCAGTGGGAGGCTGTCAGTCGCAGTCTCCACTCTGCCCGCATCATTTTCAGTAATGTGACAGCGCAGCCGGAGCTGTGTCCCGGTCCGGATCCCGTCCGCGTCTCACTCTCTGACATCCGCTCAGGATGGATGAGAAGAGAGCCGAACCCGACTTCCTACCCGTTTCCACTCCAGCCACGTTGTACGGAGAATTTACCCAGAACAGTAACCGGAGAGGTAGGTGGGCTGTAAACCTGACCGAGAAGGACCTCGTCGTCCAGAGGATCGCGTCGGCACCTGTCGGCCGGAACAAAGTGGTGCTGAGTCTGAGGGACTGCGTCGGCTGCCGGGCATACCGGGAGGATGACAAGGCGGACCCGTCGGCGTACTTTGCAGCCTACTTTTACCCACTGAGGAAGCGCCGCTGGATGACTTCTCCGTCGCGGCAGCGCGTGGAGCAGTGCTTTCGGCTAGCGGCGCTCCAGGACTCGCACGCGAACCTGGAGGAGGCAGAGAAGTGGGCTCGCGCCGTTCGAGAACGCTCTGCCCGGCAACAGCGCCTTAGAGACGGTGAGTAACCGTTAGAGACTAGTCGGGAACTTAAACAGCTGCCTTTAGGTTAAACTTTCTTGAGGACTAAAATCATCACATTGGTAGCACTTGAGGGCCATGTTTGTTTGTTTTTTCGTTTGTTTTTTCTTTCTTTTTTTTTTAAAGAAAATTTTCGTTTCTTCTCCCTTTTCTATCTACACCAATAATAAGCTGAACGTGCAAGATCAGGGCGGCCCAAACCTTTTTGGGGCCCTAAGCAGATTTTAATTTGTGACCCCCCATACCAACATGTCAACACCATATGCTTTATCATTCCTAGACTACACTACGTGTGTAAGATAACATTTAAATTTCCCTTTGGGTTCAATAAAATATTTTTGAATTTGAATTTGATTTGAGTTGAATTACTACTACTAGCGTCATATGGCTATTGATTTTAACATCACGGGACTAGCAAATAAGCAAAAATGCTCTAATGAATTTGCATGTTGAAATGCAGATTGGTATTTAGATGTGGCATGTTAATTTAACTATTTGAAAGTACCATCTGTAGACAAACATTGATTTTTACAAGCTGGAAAGTTTAATATCTTTTGGTGTTTTTTTTTTTTTTTAATTTGGAAGAGATGTATAAAATGTGCAAAACATGCAGTCTGTCATTATAAAATCAAATCAAATGATGCTCTTGGAGGGGGCCCCTCTTGGTGTTGGGGCTTTGAATTTGTGGGAATATAAAACTGTTGTAGTCGATGAAATCACCAGATTTTTGGAGGTATGGAAAGCGTAAACGTATAGATTTCTTGAAGATGAAAAATAATTTTCATGTGTTGACCTAAATGTCCACTGTAACAACTGAGTAAAACTCCTGAAATGATTTTCTGTGTTTTGGTTTTTGGTGTGCTCCCTCAAAATTATCAGTTGCCCTCATCTCACAAACTTTGTAGAGTCACCCCTGCCTGAATCAGTTACAGAGAGTCACAAGTGAACAATCACCTCCAGTGAGATAACTCATTATATGTTAAGTTTCTTATCATACTTTGCACAATAAACTGTTTGCTCAGTGAGAAGTCACAAAAACCAGTGTAATTGTGCTCAGTGAGCCTTTTTGCCTCATCATCTCATTACTCTGTATAAATAAACTGAAGTACTCATCCTCTTTATCTGTAAAAGACAAACCTGATTGTTTTCCTACTTCAGTCGTGTGAGTTCCTGAGCCGGGACCAAGTGTAATGTTTTCTTCACAAGTGGTTTATCTCCTGGCAGACGGTAACACAGGGTGATTCAAGCTCAAAGACAAGCAGCAGAAATAATAAGATTTGCTTATACCTTACACTGATTGACTATAGTTAGTTTAGTCATTTAACTATAACTAAGTTGACAAGTTTTATTACATCTTACCAGAAGTGTGTGATATTTTAGCATCTATCCAATTCCAAGTAATACTGGCCCATATTTCAGATATCGATTCTTTTTATTGATATTTGATATATGATCAAAATTTCTGACATTTAGGTATTTTTGTGTCTTTTTTCCTGTGTACATTCTGTCCTAAATTTGAACAAAAATAATTAAAACTGTATTAAGTTTACATTAATCATTAACATGATCTGAGTGCATTTATCTTAAATAAGCAGAGTGCAAGAAATTATTGTTTGAGAGCCAATCAAAACAAAATATCTTTTTGAGGTAGAATTGAAAAACTGTGAAACAAAATACAATATAATTTTAAGAGGAAATTGGAAACTAAAGTATTGATTTTAACACAGTATTGATCCAATACAGACACCGACTTGGCATTGATATTATTGATATTTTGGATTGATCCGCCCACCTCTACATCCTATCAATTATCTAAATGCATTTACAAGAGAAGCAGCCTGTGGCAGAGTCAAACTTTTAAACTAAAACCTTCAACTACAGATGCACATCAAGCTTTTCTCTGTATCAGTTTCTGGTTTTCTTTGAGGTTTGATCAACTGAACCCAGTAATGACTGATTCAGATTTTCTCACATAAAACAGGAAAATTACATAAAATCATTTGACCAAAAAGTGCAATTAATTATACTGAATACCGAAAAGTGTATCTACGTAAGTACATGCTGCATTATTAGACCAAAAGGTCGCTTCTTTGTTTATATATAATATTTTGGTATATTAACAGTATTTAATCAGAGAGTCGAGAAAAACAAAATGGTTTATTGATTGACCTTGTTTTTCCCTTTAACTATAAATTATTACCATTTACTTTTTTTCTACTTTCTCTCTTGAGTAAACCAAAACCAACATTATACAAAGCAGTTTATCATACAAGGCATCTCAGAGACATGTATTATGTTCAGGTAACAGAACCAGGTGTGACAGGTCTATTGTTTGCGCCCTATGGGCTGAACTTCCTGCAGAAAAGTGATCCTATTATGTTTCCTCCACTCTGTCCCACTCCGCCACACAGACAACACTCTCTGACCCACTTAGCTTTTATCCCATCAGCAGGCTTTCGTTTTTCTTTGCTGTGTGTCATTGTTTACTTTGAAACATATTGTGATTTGACTGGAACAGTTACCCGCCATGGGACACAGAACGTAAGACAAATGTGTCCATTAGCTGCTCCTGGCGTGCCTTTCCCGTCACTGCTTTCATTCAAGTGGAAGCAGTTTTTTTTTTTTTTTATTGTTGCTACTTTTGAATTATTTATTTTGTTGAAGCCTAAAGAATTTTGTTTTTGCTCAGAAATTGAACCTGTAATGATTTCAAAGAAGCACAATATCTGTGAGTTGAATTAGGGGTGGGCGATATGGACTTTAGTTTTATCACAATATTTTGTGATTGTAATAACAATAAGAACTTTTTATTCTTTAGTTTTTAGACAACTGTATGCCTGTGACTTCATCATAGCCCCACAAACACATATACTGCTGCTCTTGAGAAGCTTGCTCATTTATAACACCAGTCACATGAAGAAGTGTGATTTGTATCACTGAATTGCACACAATAGCTGGATTTAATCATATTTTCAAATGTATTTATATTTATTGAGACTCTCATTGAACAAACTAGAGAAAATGGTAAAACTAACAATATAAAAAGTTAATTTTCTTTAAAATACCATCAACTGGAATTTACTGACAACGATAAATCAAAATTTATAAAAAAAATTCATCACGATAAATGATTAACGATGCGATAAATGCCCACCCCTGTGCCAGAGTGTAAAAATGCACAGAACGAGGAGAAAAACTTACGAGCTTATTTTTTTAATTACTTCACAGTTTATGTCAATAAGTATGAATTAACATTTAACATATCAGTAATAAAAAATACATAACGAACAGGAAAAAACTTATATAAGTGACATGACCAAATTTTAAAAAGTGGAGGAAATTTGATATATCAAGTTTAAAAACTGGGTGGTGCTGAATATGAAGTAACATTAGCAAATTTGCGTTTGGTGTATGAACTAATAATTCAGTAAACAGTCAAATAATATTATGTTTTTGCATAGTTATTCATTTACACTTATACCAATTCATGGTATTTAGTTGTGATTGTTGGGATAAATCTACACAAAAAAAGCAAAAGTGCTGAGCAGAAACATGGACTACATCTATTTTCCTCCACAAGGCTACATGACATTGTGTTAAGTGTCTTTTTCAAGGTCGCTGTTGTTAATATCCAACCTCACTCATGCCGTAGGAGCCTTTGGTATCTGAGGAATGTTTTAATTGAAAGAGGACCTTTTCAATCAAGTTGTTCCACCAGCGGCCTTGGGAGCCATCGTTAATCATGCTAATCTAGGATGTCTGCATACGAACCATTAGCCTAAATGAGGTCTGGCCTTTTTGTCAGCGACTTCTGCCGTCCTCCCAGAATTATTCAGAGAGCATCTCTGTTTTCCTCACACAGGTAACTGCATGCTGAAGCTGTAACTCAAACCCCACATCTAAGATTAAAAACCACCTGAAAGAGAGAAGCGTGTTGTTTTCCAAAAGCTTGTTATCCACGGCTAACTGACTGTGTCTTTTGATCTCTCCTGAGCTGTTTGGTCTGCTTGGATATGAAGGAGGAAAACAGAAAGGTATCTGGTGTGTTTCACCTGCTCACAACGAGCAGATCTCCGTCAACTGTTGCTAATCTAGCGGTTTGAGTATCAATAGTAGTTTGCATTATATTGATCCCTCATAAAACAGATGTTAAAGCCCTGACCCAGAAAGCCACCTGCTCTCCCTTTTTTCTTCTTTTTGCGCTTTACAGAAGGATTAAATGACGTTTATTCCAATTTTTATCCAAAATAGACGGTTATGATGATGATGTTTATTGCTCCTTGTCTGACCCTGCTTTAATCAGTGAATGATGTCCTCTTTTGTATAGAGGAAGTGCAGAAAAGTGCAGCATGTAATTTGTAGCTAGTGGTTGCCTCTGTGGCTTGTCTGCTCTGTGTTAAAGAAGTAACACGGCCATAGACGTGATGTAACGCATGTATTACCAGGTCATGTTACGTGTCAGGAAGCTGATGTCTTATTCCACCTGATTTCATTCCTGCGTTCTTGTTTCTGAGCGAAAGCTTAACTGCGCTGCATTTTTTTTAAGAGCATTGATCTGAAGGTTGCCCATGAAAAGATGAAATGCCTCTGGGATGTCATTAGCATAACTCAGGGAGTAGCAGCAGGCGTGGAGAAGTATTGATCAAAATAGCCCCATATGGGCTTTTGCCTTCTGTGTATTTTAGTGTAGCAGTAAGAATCAGTTGATTTCAGATTAAAATGGTCATGACTGGTCAGTCGCAAAGCAGCTTAATGGAGAATCTCTAAAGGTAAAGAAGCACCAATCTTTTTTGGCTGATATCAATTTATGGCTTTCTTTTAAGTTCAATTGTATTTTTTTTTCCCCAGAAGAAGACATGAACGAGAAAACGTGCTTCAGATTTTAATGATGGTTTTAGTGTGGAACTTAAGAGAAAATAAAATAATTTCAAGGTTATTCCCAATAATAACACAGAAAAAAAGGTTATAAAACTTTTTGA